GAAGGAGGGATGGAAGGAGGGATGGAAGGAGGGATGGAAGGAGGGATGGAAGGAGGGATGGAAGGAGGGATGGAAGGAGGGATGGAAGGAGGGATAAAAGGAGACTCATCACTCAAGGGGCCAGAAAGCTCAGGTGCGGAGCTCGGACCTTGTGTGGAACAAAGCCCTCCCATTTTTTATGAGGCTTATCCTACTGCCTGTCTATCAAGCACACCCTCATATCGTTTTTATCTTATCTTTTTTAGGGTAGTGTAGGGAGAAGGTGCAACCCTGTATATATATTTAAAAAGCCACGTTTTCAACCTTGATGGAATGTGGTGAGACTTGAAAGACGTTCAATGGCGTACTGTACGCCATTTGAACATTAGATTTTGCTGTTTTTGCGCCTATTTTGACATCGTTGTGATAATAAAGTCGCCTTTTTCGCGCAAAAAGTCGGTCAAAACGTCACAGATTTCCCCGATCTGACGTACGGTACCGTACGCCACCTAGTGCCCGTAGGGATAGAGGGGACTATCTGAAAAGAAGCGTTATTAGACAACCACTCGATTGAATTAGTAACAGAGGATTGGACACGACCTACTACGAGAGCAGCTCGGTGTTCTTATATACACAAGTGCCATCCTAAGGTCCCTTGCCATCCAGGATGGTGGGTCTTGGCGGAATGGTGTGTCACGTGGCTCAGCGCTGCGGCGTTCCATGCTTGCTCCGCCACGTTCCTTCACAACCTCTCAATTGCGCTCATCCCTGTGATCGTAACAATAACTTTCGTTGATGGCCAAGATCTGATTAGTGGAAATTATCTATTTTAGTCCGAAGCGCACGTGATGTCTACATCCAACGCTATACAGAGATGATAGTAACTATGAAACTCGGTGCGCAGCAGCTAACTCTAGAGACTTACCGACACTACTCGACTCGGTTTCTTCATAAAGTAGTTAACAAGACTCGCTTTGGGTATATGATGATAAAGCAAGTTATTTGTAATGCATACTTATCGTAACCTTTCATCTACATTTCTAGTTAGTCAAGATTTGGTATACCGTATTAGGCGAGGAAATAGTAATTGATAGTAACCTCCATCTGTGTGATGTATTATGGATTGAACATCATACTCAGGGAATGTCTATGTGAACATTTGACATATTGAATGATATGTTTCTGCCTAAGCTTTTGGCACTCGCATACCTTGGTGTATATTTTGAGTTCTATCCTCTAACTCCTGAGGGACACTGATTGCCGCTACTTCTGCATCTTCACGTTGGCCCAACTCTCTATATCCATGATTTGACCACATCTCATGTGTATGGGCACGTAGCTGCTGCTTTTCGACATGTGACACATCCGTGTGCAATGTGCTGCCGTCTGAAGGGCTGTCCTTTCCTATGCTGGACTTTGTCGACCTGAATACCAGCCATGCGATTGCAACCGCCACGATTCCAACGATTGCTACACCAACCCCAATGCCAGCTTGCACGCCTGCACTAAGACCACCTGATGAGATGCCTCCATTGAAGGCAGAGGACGAGGTAGGCGTCGAGGCCGACGATATTGTAGCTAAGGGTGCGGGTGTCACTAGCGAAAAGGGCGTTGCTGAAGAAAGAGTTGGTGTCGGACCCACAGTTGCCTCCAGTTCGAAGATGTTGCTCTTATTATCGCAGCAGGTCTTCTCCTCACAGCACCAGGTTTTTCCTCCACAGTTGTGAACGCCCACGTTGCCCCATTTGTCGGCGTACTATGTTGTCTCATCAGCGACATCCTGACGCGGAGTATCGAGCAATACACCTCTGGTTCGTTACAAACGTCTCCAAGACAGTACGGGCTATTCCATAGTGGATCTGTACAGCCCTGTCTTGACCAAATTTTCTCACCCTCGTTGTTCCCGTTGTATACCGCATAGTTCTGACAAAGACCATTTTCTATGCACACATCATCTGCGATGCCGAAGTCTCCTGCGCCGCCATGGTTCGTCATGCAGCATGCAGAATATATCGTCGAGTTGTCGCATGGTTGGAAAGCTGCGTTGAGAAGGGAAGTGCCGTTACGGCTGCACTGGCGATCCCATCCGCAATATGTTGAAAGATCACGAACGTGTTAATATTTACCGACAGCTCCGATCAGAGAGCGCCTAACCAAGTGTGTATTTGTGAATAGGCGAAGTATATATCGCCCGTTATTCTTGATTTATACTTATATTGACTACACTTGACAAGCCATGCCTAGGGAGAGCTACCTTAGAGCTCTAGATATAAAGATCAAGATTAGAGCAGGTTGATCGTCCATTTCCACACATACATTCCAGTTGTAATCCATGATTCTTGTCAGTTTCGAATATGCAGTTCATCAATTATAGATTTATATTGTCAATTGTGATCATCCATTTTCTAATCGTATTAGAGTACTGAGGCACTGGAGGTATAGAAGGGAGTTCTAAGTTTAAAGCTTCGCAACGCTAATATCATCATATGCAGAGACACCAAGCATACTACGAACAATTTTCTTGATGCTACTTGCCCCAGCCAATGTCATGGTCGTTGTGAGTTCTCTTTCCAAGATATCCAGTATAGTCTTGACGCCCTTTCGGCCGTCATAAGCTAAGCCCCACAAGACAGGACCTCCAACAAAGACTAGATCTGCGCCGAGGACCAAGGCTTTGAAGACGTCGCCCCCCCTGCGAATACCTCCGTCCAACATAATGGGGATTCTTCCTCGAACCGCGTTGACAACCTCGCCGAGAACTTCCAAGGTGGAGGGGACTCCATCAAGTTGCCGACCGCCGTGATTACTCACAATGATCGCATCAGCTCCAGCCTGCATTGCTAACTCAGCGTCTTCGCCGGTCATGACGCCTTTCACAACCAGCTTCATCTTGGTCTGAGATCGTAGCCACGGAACGAATTCGGACCACTGTAGGCTGGCATCGACGAGAAAGTCGAATTTTTCTTCTTGTGCACGTCTTGCTTCAGCTGCCGTTCTTGCATTGAGCAAAAGTCTTCCTTGAGAAACGGCGCCAGCTTTCCGACTAGAAGTGTTGCACATGGTAAGATGTTTGGGCAGCTCAAGGGAATGGCGTCTCTCGTGCAGTCTATTACCAAGCACTGGCGTATCGATTGTTAAAACCAAAGCTTCAAAGCCTGTCTTTTCTGCCCGTTGAACGAGGGCTGCTGTAGTGGCACGAGACCCCAGAGAGTAAAGCTGGAACCAGGGTTTGGGGTAGCTGTCATCACGAGGCGGCAAGGATTGCATGACATCCTCCAGAGATGTCGTCGCATTTGAGGAAAGAGTGAAATTCTTACCCATGTCGAAACTGGCGGCGGACGAATCCAGTTCCCCTCCATTGCTGGCAAATCGATAATATGCGCTAGGTGCAAGCGCTATTGGGATGTTGTAACGTTTTCCGAAGATGGACGTTGTCGTGTCTATGGCAGAAACGTTTCTGAGCATCCTTGGTCGCAGCAGCAATCTTGTCAAGAGAGCGTAAGTAAGTCGATGTTTTTGAGGTATGATTAATTTCATCTCACCTTTTGTATATGTCTTCGTTTCTAGAGACGGTCCAATTGTCGTCTGCTCCAGTTTCCAGATATTCCCAAACATCATCCGGGAGTTTGATCTTAGCAATCTCTTTCACATCTGCGAGTGTGTACGGTGTAGGTACATCCTTAGGGGACATGGCAGTAGCTGACTTGTCGAGTTTGTTCAATCCGTCTAAAAAGCACTGTCTTCGTGTGCGGTTGACAATGAGTTTTGTATCGCAACATGGCTATATACGAGAAACTGTTCATGTCGTGTATATGATCACCGTATGGGCTACAAGCCAGAGAATGTTCGTGCGCTCGCTAGTAGTGAACAGCTGTTGGCAATAAGCTCCGCCCGCACCTCCGCCGCAATCAATTCCACCGGACGTGGTAACTTGGCTTCGTTGGAGCTCCGAAAATCGCAAACGCACGTCTTTACTTGTTTGGCTCCGAAAGTTCGGACCATAGTCTACGTAGAGTAAGGAACTACGATCACCCTATGGAGAGGTAGTCTCACAAGGGCGGTGCATACTCAGTAGTTTCTCGAACCAGCCGCTGACACCGATACGCGCTGGACCCTAGGCATCTGCTAGTGATACGGACCGGAGAGTGGGCCCGTCTTGGACCTTCAAGTAGAAATGCAACTCCAGAGAATGGTTCTCTCTTCGTCTTAATCCGTAAATTCGTAATCAGGTTGTCAGGCTCAGCCAGCTGCGCAACGCCATCATGTCCCCTCACAAAACCGACAAGTCCCTCGATGTTCACGCTCACACCAGTGCAGATGCCATAGCCGATGAGGAGAGTTACTCGGCTCATAACTACGTGCCCCTCCCTGTCGTCTTTGCTCGTGCCCAGGGTGTCAATGCTTAGGATCCTGAAGACAAGCACTACCACGACTTCCTGTCAGGTTACAGTGTAGTGAATCAAGGCCATTGCCATCCTGAACTCGTCAAAACCCTTGCTGAACAGGCTGGTAGATTGACGCTCAGTTCTCGTGGCTTCTACAACGACGTCTTCCCACAGTGGGCGAAACTAGTCAACAGAGTCTTCAGTTATGACATGGTTCTCCCGATGTGTACTGGAGCTGAAGCAGTCGAAACTGCAATCAAGATTGCCCGGAAGTGGGCATACAAGGTCAAAGGTGTTGCACAGGATGAAGCATATATCTTTGGCACATCCGAAAATTTCCACGGGCGTACAGTAAGTACCACGGCTCGTAAAGGATCTGCAGTATACTGAGTTTGCATCAACAGATGACCGCAATCACGCTCTCGGTCGATCCTCTGTAAAGAACAAACTATGACCCCCATGTGCCCAGAGTTGGTGCATGCAACCCGACGACTCGCAAAGTCATCCGGTACAACAACATTAATGACCTTAGGGACGTTCATGAGGAATACAGCCACCAGACGGCGGCATTCATCTGTGAGCCCATACAAGGAGAAGCGGGAGTCGTCGTTCCCGACGATGAGTATCTGGTTCAGGTGTCAGCTCTCTGCAAGAAACATAATGTCCTTTTTATCTGCTACGAAATCCAGACAGGTATAGGACGTACTGGAAGGATGCTCTGTCATTAGTGGATAGGTATTAAGCCAGATCTTGTGACCCTGGGCAAGGCTCTTTCAGGAAGCATGTATCCAGTCAGCTGCGTCCTTGGTCAGGCCGAGGTCATGTCAGTGATCGAACCCGGAACTCATGGATCTACCTTTGGAGGTAATCCTCTAGGTTGTGCTGTGTCTATCCGTGCCCTTGGGCTTATCTAGGAGGAGGACCTCATTGCCAAAGCCGATCATTTGGGGCAAATCTTCAGGGAGGAACTTCAAGCGATGGACACAGACGTTTTCCGCATCATCCGTGGCAAGGGCTTACTTAATGCCGTGGTCATTGACGACAAAAAGACTAACGGCTGGACTGCCTGGGACTTGTGTCTGGCGATGAGAGACAGGGGCCTTTTAGTAGGTGCCATCTATCGCCACAAAATGCTATTGAACCATCAACTGACTTTAGTCATAGGCTAAACCGACAAAGGGCGATACAATCCGTTTCGCGCCACCATTAGTCATCACCGAGAGTGAACTCCGCAAGGGCCTTTCAATCATCAGAGAGAGCATCAAAGCGCTAAGTTAAAGATGACTCCCAATAATCACTTGGCTTCCATGGGACTTGACAATTTTGAATGGTCAAATGCAAGATTGCAAGATCGAAACTGGGATTCTGCAACCGAATTTCCATAGTGACGTCAAACTAAACGATTTTCATTCCATCATCGAATAATTCGACTTTGTTTACCATTTGTACCTAAAACGTGTCATTATAACATCCGTTCTCAGCGCTTCAATCATGTTTTGACTTTCATGGCATTCAAGGGTCAGAGATAAAAGATTGAATTTTCAACCGACAAGTCCATCTTGCAAGATTACGCGACTCTATTTTGTTTCATATCTCATTGATATTTCCTACGTCCAGCCAGCTCTGCTGGGAATTCATCTTGGAGAAATGTGGATTGCTTAAGCCAAATAACAGCGTTGTCCAATCTGTGTGATCTTCAGGAACCACAATCTGCTCTCCCAGAAGAGCTTGTGAGATGCACGAAGTACATTCATTGTACAGCCTTTGAAAAAATGGTCAGGACGCTCTCCGCATTTGGCCAGTATTCAGCCAGCCTTTGGAGCAGCCGTAACAAACGACTCAAGCGATTGATCGACTCTATCGCAAGCAAGTGATGACCCTTTCCGATGGTCGTACGGATGTCATTGACCGTCTGGATACCGACAGCGGCGGCTGCTCCAACGCCAATAAAGGGACATTGTGCGATGTACCCCATAGCCGCAAGCTTCTCAAATGATATCAAGATGCCATGCGCAGAGACCGCGCATATTTCTTGACTGCTCGTATTGGTAGAAAGAGCGCGGTGGAAGTATAATAGCATGAGGTTGTAGTGTATACGTAGCAGGCATGAGAGCGAATCATCGTGGTCTGTGGATGCTGTCGAAAGACCTCCTTGTAAGGCCCAAACTGCAAGGCGGGTAGTGATCTTGCTGACGTCGACTGGCTCCGTGCGCGCAGGGGCATTGGTTGATAAAACATCAACACCAATCAGTGCTAATTGTACCATGCGATTCAAGAAATGAAGTCTTGGATCCAAATCTGATGACACAGCCCCTGGCAGGTGAAGGTTTGTAACTTCCTCTACACTCATTAGCACTTGATCAATATCTTCAGCTCTGACGGTACATGGGCGGCCCGTCTCGAGCGCTGAAAATACATCGGAGATGAAAGCTGCCCACCAGCAACGTCTGTACATAAATGATACCCAATTAGGCAGCACGGAACTCTTCCGATGTGCACCCAAGCCGCACCCAACGCGCGCTGCTACACCTGACCAATACCACGGTCCAGAGGCTACCGTATCTCCATCGCTGACATGCCATGTGAACAAGAAAGCAGCTTGGATTAGTTGGGCACGGTCAGTCGCGTGACGGAGGTGATATAACATGCTCGCGCGGCGGAATAGTACGCTCTTCACGGCATGGCGATCTTTGGCAACCAGAGGGTGCGTACAGCTATGAGCGCCAGCAAGCAACAATGCTTAGAAAAGAAGCAACTGGGGTGGATTTTGGGGGTTTTTGTAAGACTCCATGAAGGCCGATTGTGATATGATGGGAAAACTAGGATGGACGTTGTCAAAGTATGCCTTTACCAGGGCATCTCGCACTTCTTGTGCAGGGAAGCTTGACACATCGGCAAGAGCGTCTCGCGAAAAGGGGAGAGATTCGGGTGCAGGAGTCCATTGAGGCAATGTCCTGATGGGCGGATAAAGATAGTGGCGGGCGATTTCAGGCATCGTCATCTCAACACTTGTGTCACCGTTGGCATGCCAGCCAAAGTCATGCATTTGTGGTACAGATGTGCTCATCTCACCAAGAGACAAAGACAAGAAGTTTGCTGGCAAGCTGCGCAATTCCAGATGAAGCCGGACCAGTTGTGCGAGGTTGGAGACATTGGTGCCCGTGTATGCGACTCGAAAAGAGTCTTCTAGATCGAAGAGATTCCAATCCTGGGCAGTTATACCTTCACCAAAGAAACGAGAAAGGCAATTTCTTGCGTGTGCCAAACGGCCTTGGATTGAGTCGGCAGCGTCATCTTGCTCAATGGCGTCACGATCATTCTGATGGGACGTCAGAGTGGGAGGATTTGATGATTGCTCTTACTGTAATGTAGGTGTGATGACCTGGGTGCCCGTTTCTTGAGTATGCTCACTGGTTACTGGTGGCGGCCCATCAACACTTGTGCTGATACGAGAAGATCCAGTCATTCAAGGAGATATCTCGTCTTGAACCGTTGCATTACGTACCGACAAGGTTTTCGTAACTTGCGGCAGACGGAGCAGGACGTGCCCGGGTGTTCAGTCAAATCGCATCGGACCTTGCGACGACGACATACATCGCATGCTTTCCGCGGTTGATGCCTCCGATAGGATACTTGAACTCGGTCCCGATTTTCATCCATCTCAAAATGGAACTAGGCGGCTGTTCTAGAAGCTGAGAATACAAAAGTGGTACAAAGTTGGGTCTGTCGGAGGTTGATAGTGAGTGTCGGGGGTTGACGGTGGGTGTCGGAGGTGCAGGTGGATGTGGATTGGTATTTGAGGCCTGTTTTTTTCCTTCTCGTTTTCCGTCCGCTATAGCACTGGCCGGATTAGGGCTCCGTCTAGAAACGGGACATGGATTTAGCGTCGTGTTTGGTAAACTGGGCGTCTGGACGCCGCTACTCAGTCGGAGCTCCGTCTTCTACCTAGACCCTTTGGCCATCATATCCAGCTAAAACCTTTGTTTACTGCCAACTCGGCGATCCAGCCCACGACGTGACCGCGAAGTGACCAGAATTTACTCAATACGAAACGGTGCTCAACCGAACAGCCTCTCCACTTTCTCTCAATCTGGATAGCAGCAGACCAGCCCCTCCTCTGACCAAACTCTAAATCCAGAAGGACTAATAGACGGAGACGGGAAACGGAGCAACGGAGCAGGCCCTTAGTTGGCTGATAAGCTGAACCCTGCTTTGGCCGACCAAGGTCTGAGGCCAAACCTCCGCACCAATCAATGCCAAGCACTCCACCTCGAATAGCGATTATTTGTCTTTGGTTGGAACTGGCTGAGGAGATAGCAAGCCAGATATCTAGTCAATTTCAAGTCAATGGAGAGCATGCGCTGAGCCATTGGAATGCGTTGATATGGAAGGAATACAGAAGTTTGGTGGTGTGCAGCCGTCACTTGTGGAACGCGGCATCTCCGATGTTACTACCTCCTTCAGGAATCAATAATCTGAACGTTTTCCTTTCTGAACAACACTACTGAGCCCCCTTTGTCATATCTGATTCAAAGCATGTTTTTCGCAAGATGATTTTGAGTGCAGACCAGTTCATGTAGTGAATAGACTGGCATTCTCGTCACCAGCTTACTCTCCTTCTATGCTCTGTCGACATCCTCTTGGGAGGAGGACTTTCTCTATGATAATACTTTTGCTTCAGATAATGTCTTAAAAGGAACATAAATTCACGAGAGGCCAGATGATGAACATTAGCTGATGGTTCGTTGTGGAATGGCAGGACCTCTATTGACTATATCTACAACACGCTCTGTGACAATACAGAGCTATTTGGCAGGAACACCTCACCCCATTCGATACATGACTAAATCTGTCATTCAGCTTACAGATATCAACAATTTCCGGTAACGATAGTTTTGAGAGAAAGGTATTCTTCGATCCCATACTTGCTAGACTCGCGGCCCAGACCCGAGTATTTGACGCCACCGAACCTATTCTTGTCAGCCATGTTTCTGCACATGTAGGGCAAGTTTTTTTCAGACTTACGGAGCAGCTGCATCCGCGATGGCACCGGTATTTATAACCACCATACCAGCCTGCAGTGCCTCCGATACTTTCCGCGCTCTGTTCATATCGTTGGTCATCATGTATGATGCAAGACCCATATCGGTATTGTTGGCAGCGGCAATTGCTTCTGAATCAGTAGAGAACTTGAAAATTGCAGCAATAGGACCGAAAGTCTCCTCTTGAGCGATGCGCATATCAGCGTTCGCATTGATGAGGACAGTTGGTTGGAAGTAATTTGGACCTACACAGTAAGTTAGCTCTTGGTGTCTCATGAAGAAGAGGGTATAGCCACGCCTTTTTCTGCGAGTGAGCCGCCACCAATCAGTACTTCTGCACCTTTGCTCACAGCATCTCGAACGTGTTCTTCACGCTTGGCGACTACCCGTGAATGGATCAGCGGACCCTGAGTTGTCGTTACATCTGAAGCTGGTCCAACTTTGAAGCCAGCAACCAATTCTTTAACTCTTTATACAAAACGGTCGTGAATGCTCTCTTGCACATACACTCTGTTTGCACACACGCAAGTCTGTCCCCAAACTTTGAACTTGCAAGCAATCAGGCTAGATGCTGCCACTTCTAGATCAGCGTCGTCCAGCACGATGAACGGCGCATTTCCACCCAGCTCAAGACTCAGTTTTTGAATGTTCTTTGCGGACTGTTGCAACGATATCTGGCCGACTCTTGTTGAGCCAGTGAATGAAATCTTGCGGACAGTTGGATTTTCGCAAAGAATCCTGCCAACTGCTGACGTATTATCCAGTGCATTAACGATATTAATCACTCCTGCTGGCACACCAGCCCTCTGAGCCAGCAGGACAAGTGCAGATGCGGTGTATGGAGTCAGTCCATCAGGCTTCAGTACCGCTGTACATCCTGCAGCGAGACAAGGAGCAAGTTTGCGAGTAACCATAGCAGCCGGGAAATTCCATGGAATGATTAACCCGCAAACGCCTACAGGTTCCTTGAGAATCGATATCCTACACGAAGGGTTGCTATGTGGTGCAACATCACCATATATTCTGGCGGCCTCCTCGGCGAGCCATTCGAGGTAAGTGGATGCTAGTGAGACTTCTGCAGCCGCATCTGCTTGAGCCTTTCCGTTCTCAACAGAGATGAGACGAGCAAGGTCGTTCTTATTCTCGATAACAAGATCGAACCATCTGCGTAGAATGCGCGAGCGTTGTCGACCACTTTGGGCTTTCCAGGTGTGCAGAGCAACCTCTGCGGCTTCGATAGCTTTGAGCACATCGGAATCATCTGATTCTTGATGTACGCCAATTGGTCGAAGACTTGCAGGATCTTGCGGATGTCCGCAACGCTCTGTATTCATAGAAATCAACCTCGATTTACCAGTCACTGAGAAAGTCCTATCCGATGCACCTGTTTTCCAATCACTGCCGATGAAGTTCAAGCTCACTAATAGGCTGGGATCTTCAAGGTCAAGTAGGGAAGCCATTATACTAGCACAAGGGTGGACGTGTAGAGCTCAGCACCAAACCCAAGGCTTCCTATATACTGCGTTCAGTCTTTGTGTGTGTTATACAACGCGCACCGATGGACCCAAAGATGAATCCCAGTCGAACTTACACACCTCAAGGCTGTCTGGCCGGGGGCGGGAGCGCAATGTCAATCTATCCGGTGGATGCGCCAGGAGGCTATATGCCTATAGGGATGATAATGCCCAGTGTAGACATTTTTGGGACTAAATCTGGCTTCACCAAAGAACAGCCTTGGATTTTCCAGGACATGGATACCGTTGGGTTTTACGAAGTTACCGGAGAAGAGTACGATGCTGAGATGATGCGGTTCAAATCAGGAAGCTACAAGTACAAGATGGAGGCGAGCACCTTCGACTTGGCAGAACACAACGAACTGTTGAAGAGCACTGCTAAAGAAGTATCTTCACTATTGAGAATCTGCGGGAAACTTCAAGACGAGATGGCGATCAAGGAGAAGAAGATTCTGCAAGAGTGGCTAGAAAGCAAAGCCGCAACCAATGTAGCCCAAGACGACATAAACACTGACGGTAAGTTGTTTTCAGCTTAGCATGGATCCACTACACTCAGTTCCCGCCGTGCATAACTGACTCTAACAACCTCAGATCCCAACACCCACATCGTCGAGTCTCCCGTAAACGCCAACATCTGGAAAGTTCTTGTAAAGGACGGAGATTTCATACGCGCCGGACAGAAGCTGGCGATCCTTGAGGCTATGAAGATGGAGATTGATATCTGCCTAGATGCTCACATAGAAAAGGCTACCATACAGAAAGTGTTGACTCAACCCAGCGTTACGGTAGCTAGTGGGAGACCTTTGTTTGTTGTTTCAAAGTTTTAACAGCGGTAGCTTAGAGGGACATGTATATTATTCGGGCTTATCGTCTTCTTTGAGTATCATGTTAGTTGTTTAGCAAGCTTATGTTACCTTCATATTTACGAAAACGTTGTTACCATGGTGATCCAACAGAAATCACCAGTGTTGGTTCTGGTAGCGCTAACTGCAGCTCCTGACAAAGCAAATATTGTAATTAGGGTTATGAATCTTATGTCACGAGATTTATGTATGTGGTGGGGTTGTCTAGCTTTTGACTCGTTGTATAGATCCATTCTCAATGTCCTATGTTAAGGAAATATAGTTTTATTCAATCTCTACGAGAAGACTAGATTTGACTTTGATGTCGATGCAGTAGGAAGCGTGAAAGGTTGGTTCGGAAGTTACTTTATTTCTTGAACAATGTTCTGAACATCGCAATGCAAACAAGAGAAGTAAGGGTATCTGATGAATTAAATATGTAATTTCTAAAACGATAGTAACCATAGACCTGACATAGGCTACTCTTACTACGCATGTACTTATACAGACCTAGAAATCCTTAAGTACTCCATCCTCTCGAAAAATTAATATATACCCAACTCAAGAGAAGAGGAGGACTTACCGATTACCACGACGTCCCGGCAATGGGGGTGGTATAAGTGGGTTGCCATAGGCGTCTGTGTTGAGGGCTGCGCGGCAGTCGGGACAGTACCATTTTGCACGGCGGGAAGGTATATCGTCTTCAGTCATATTCATACAAGGAAGATGGAACCATTCCCTATCACACTGCTAGTCGTTAGCTGAGATGCCGCGACTCTGCAAAGGTAAACTTACATTGTTATCGCACGATATCATGGCTCCATAGCTGACATCGTCACAGATACAGTATTTGGGCTCATCTGGATCAATGTCGTCTGCCACTTCAACCTCCTCTTCCGTCTTTCTCTTTCTTTTGTTTTTGCTACCTTGGGCGCGCTTGACATTGGTGACGGTCTTCTGGCCATTTTCAGCAGCAGTGACTTCCCCTTTTGGGGGTGGTTTTCTTCGCGAGCTAGTGCGGGTAGGTGCAGGAAGCGAGGGGTTTACTGTAAGAGAGGATGCAGGTTGGCTAAAGACACTATGACGACGAGTTTCGCGAGTGATCCTACCTTGTTCATTTGGTTTTGGTTCTTCGCTCTGGGCTTTGGGCGCGGGCAGATGTCCGCGGGCGGAACGGGGGCGCAAGGTTGGGGGCGCAGCAGTGTCTGGAGCAGGTTCCGGTACTGGTGTGGGCGTCTTTGAAGTCTTCAGAAGCTGAGGAGCATCGGGTGGGGTATGTATTTTTGGTACAAGCGATTCGCGACGAGACCTAGTCGAAGCTGCTGTTGTGGCGGCCAGAGCAGGAGCTGGCGCAGGGACAGATTCATGATCTGGAACTTGCGTGAGTGCTGGTACTGGGGACGGCGACGCTTCTGGCATAGCTAGAGACCTTTCAGATAGCGCTGGCGATGTCCCCAGAGGCGTCAATTCGGGACTCAGCTCAGGACTTAGCTCTCGTAGTGCAGCCCTATCAGCAGCTTTTGGGGTACTTGGGCCAGCTGTTGCAGGTGGCGCCTGTACAGCATTTCCGTCAGTTGTAACATTGGCAGATTCTACAGGCTGTGCAGGAGCATTTGGCAGCGGAGAATGAGCAGCTGAGATGGAGAGATCTCGCGGTGTAGAAACAGTGGAGCCAGGAGTCGGTATCGGTGAGGAAGCGGCATTTGGTGCCGGGGCGATGAGCTGCAGTCGTGCGCGCTTTGCTTCTGGTGGTTTCGTTGCGCTGTCTTGACTGCCTACAGATGCTTCTCGCATGACCTCAATGGAGCCATCTGTGGCAAGGGGTGGGGATGTGTCACGTTTGCGTTTGGTGGAGAGTCTGGTTATTGACTTTCTCTTCTGGCTTGATGGTGAGGTGACAGTGGAGTTGAAGTTCAATTCTTTGAGCCCATCGGCAGCCTCTTTGATCTTTTCGGACGCGCCAATGAGCTCTTGAGCATCCTGCATGGCTTTTTGGCGTTGTGACGTGCGATCGGGTCTCTTTCCATCCTCGGACGTTACAGGCTTGAGGCGAATGCTAACGGGGCCAGTCTCATCTTTTGCTTCCTCTTCGGCAGGCTCGGTGGGCGCAGGTGGGTTGGCTGGCTGCGAGGCCTGTGAAGAGAGGGTTCCCAGACCGGAGGCAGTCATGATCTGTTGCAATGTTTCGGGCTCCTCATCGAGGAAGGGTTCGCCTGTGGCCTCACACCGAGCCTTTTCTCTCTCGTAGTCGGCCTCTGTGCGGTGCTTTTTCTCGAGTTCGCGAATCATCATGGTCTGGCTGGGTGTCCACACGGCGTTCTTTTTCATTTGCTTGCGTAGGACAGCCATTTCGTACTCGGTCAGCTTCTTCCACGGCGCCCACTTGCTACCCGGCTTCGCGTCGGCTGGTGGGGGAGCAAGCTGAGCGAGGGCATTGCTGGTAGATATTCCGGCTATGGAACTGTGTACGTTTGTGCCCAGCACACCTGCAGCACGCGCTCGACCGCCAGCTGGTCTTGAATGTCTGTCCCTGTCCTGCTTGCGCCTTCGAGGGGATGCTACATGGATAGCTGATGCGTCGTCCGAATCGCCCGAAGAGTCTGATGCATCACGGGCTCGACCGCGGCCTCGAGCAGTAGTGGTCTTGCGGTGGCGCTGGCGCTGGCGCGAGTTGCTGGCGCCATGGCGGCCGGCGTCAAAGTTGAGGCGCAGATGGGCAGGACGTTCGTAGTTGCGGTATACGGGGCGGAGTGCGCTTGGAGAGACTGGCGGAGGTGTAGGATCGCGCGAGGGAGGCTGAGGTTGGGCCTGGAGCTTCCGCTTGATAACCGATGAGCGCTGGCAATGGCGGACAGTGACCTCGTATAGGCGCGAGGCCTCGGTGTATGCAAACTCGCGCTGATTAATGGCCTTTTGGAGGTGGTGGGCGATTTGCTTGCGCAGTAACACGGGATCAGGGCGGTCTTGTTCAGACAGCGTGGGCAGACGGCCATACTGGACCGTCAGTTCGTGGACCTGCTGGACGGCGTCGGCGTAGGTCGAGTCGAGGTCGGCGATGAGGGTCAGGGAGCGCACGAGATCCGAGGGGAAGAATTCGGTGTAGTCGAGAAAGTCATTGACGGTTGTCTGGGCGTCTGGATTCGGGGCGGGTTGGGCCATGTCAGGCGCATCGTCGGCTTCAGACATGGCGCATGGCGGAGAGGTCGAGTGGTGGGAGGCTGGCGACGCACGCGTCAGACCTTGCAGCCACGCGTCAACTAAGTCGTTGGTGAGAACCAGGGCGATTGTGAGGGTGCGGGATGCGGGATGCGAGGAGCGATATGCGCGGGTCGTGATGGGCTGCCGTTGCTGACCTGGTCGCAAACGTTGGAGGCGCTGGGGGTGTGTGTGTCTAGCCCGCTTTGGCCTCCACCCACGCAGATCCCTCTCACCACCGAACCCATGGGGCCTGCTCCACCCCACGCCCTCGTCCCGTCTCTCGGCAGTGTACATGTTGCTGGGTGTGTTGGCCAGATATATGTGTGTCTGTATGTTAAGCTATATACATCTCCTGGGTGAAACTGCATTCAAAAGAGGCTTGCTGCCAGCAGTCCATCACAGACACCGCTTTCTGCCCCGTCACCGCTGCACTCACCTACCTACTTCACCACACGCGTCCCCTCCCAAACTCCGCTCTGGTACAACACCACATACACAATATCGCTATGAACCATCATGCCAGCTTTCTCTTACCATACACCTTGCCATGTTTCCTCGATACACCAATATTTCCACAAGAACCGTATTGCCGCATCCGGGCTACTTTCTCGTACCTCTCTTGACTTGCTTATCCCCTGTCTTTCTCTACAGCTAGTTTTCTTCCAAGGCTGACATAGCCATCTTTTTTCGCGCTGCCTTCTGTCTTTTATTTTTCTTTTCCGACTCCCTCCATAGCAAGAATATGAAGCACTTTGCTCTTCCGCCCCTGAACTAGTTTGCCAGCCTGTTGGTCGATGATTGTCGTTTGCCGTTTGCTCTTGCCCCATCCATCTGCCTAAGCGCAGCGCCCAAAACCAACCCTCCCCCACCTTCCTTCACAGACAACCTTTTTTTGCTCATACATCACGCAATGGTGTCTTCGGAGCGCCTCGAGAAGCTACGCGGGCTGATCAAGTCTGACGTTGATGCTCTTCCTGATCGCCGCATCTCCCCAGACCGTATGCTTGACGACTCTGACTCCTCTGGCGGTGTGCCTCTCGAACCTCACCTGCTAGACATGCCTATCGCCAAGCAAGACACATCAGAGAAAACAGGTTCATCTCTGGCGATATCGGCCTCTGCCCCAACTGCTTCCCTTACGGAAAACCCAGACCGCCAATCCTTCTGGACGAACAACGCCTCAAGCTCGTTCAACCCGAGTCTTGAATCCATACGCATCTCTGATACTCCGTCTACTCCTCATATTCAAGATCCTCCCATAACCAATCTTCAGCGTGGAGAGTTAGCTTCGGCACGTCACCACTTCACACCAATCCAAGCATTGGCCAAGTATCCCTACACATACTGCAACAAGAGCCACATGCAAACCGTTGCCTCTGCTTTTTTTGACCAGGGAAAATTCTGGAATCGGGTTTGGGATATGTAAGTTGATTTGACAACCATCACCTACATTCACATGTTCACTGTCAAAAACATGACCCCTGGTGAATGCTGGCATGCAACAAAGAGACCTCCCCAATTTCAACTTTCAACTTTTACTTTCTGATAAAAGGCGGAAACCACTGGCTGACTGTAATAGTTACTACGTCTGGCCCATCGACTCTCCCAAGCCTACCCTCCTCGTCCGTGAGAACCAGGTACAGGCTCTACTTACCGAGATCAATAACCAGTTTCAACTTGACCTCTGCATTACCGATCACCAACGAGAGGAAGGCCTAGTGACACGCTTCCCTGACCATCCTCGGTGCTTACCGAGATATCTTGGGCGCTCACACTCACGCCAGGAC